GCCCGCGCTGCCGTCCGGACCGCGGCTCTGCTAGCTGTGCAGCAGCCCTCGCACCGCCACTTCCTGCTCCTCCCCCCCCCCTAGATTTTTATTTGCAAAGGGCGGTAGGGGCGGGGCCTGCTCCCCATTCCCTCCCCCCTCTCTCGTTTGCCCAGAGACCGAACTTTGCAAATGCAATTTTAAAAATCCCTCCCCCTATTGCAAAATGTGCAGAGTTCGATGGAAAGCAATGTAAATGGCTGGGGAGGGGACAGGAAAGGGGTTAAGGTTAGGGCTCGGTCTAGCTCGCACTCAATATAAACCAGACCTGGGTATAAGGCACGGGACTGAGCCACAGGAGGAACGAAAGAGAAAGGACTAAGTAGGCTTAGCAAATTGCAAATTTAGCAAATTAAAGTGGGTTCGGGGAACCCAGGGTTAAAACGGCACGACTCCTCCTTCCCGGGGAAGGAAGGAGGATCAGGGACGTGTCTCCTGCCTGGCGGAAGGGGCGGGAGCGAAGGCGAGCGCGCTGCCGCCTCTCCACTCTTAATTCTGCTTTTTCAAGAAATAAGAGAGGAGAGAGAACTTGACAAAATGCCCCGGTCTTTCTGACAGCTCAGGGAACCCACCAGCGGTGCCTCTGTGCCCAGCGTCTGCGCGCATCGCACAGGTTGGGTTCCTTCAAGCCCATCTCCACTCCAGGGAGTTATCCCTTCTCTGGAACGGCTCCAGCTGAGGGCCTCACCCTGCGTCCCGGCCCCGCCCGTCCCGGGCCAGCAACCTGGGTCACCGGCTGTGCCCCTTGGCCCTTCTCTGCAGAGCGCGGGCGCCGGCGGGACAAGACGGGCGGGGCTATTTTTTAAGGCGGAAGAATACCGAAGATTCAAGATTGACAACTTTTTAAAGAAAGGGAAAGTCCCTTCTACTTTGAGCCCATAGGACTTTTTCTTTTTTTCCAGTAAAAGTTATGCTAAGTATTTGCAATTAGTTTGCTCGCCACCGCCGGGGAAGGGGCCGGGCAGGTCGGGATGGCCGCCTTGGATGGACTAGCACCAGCTGGAGCCTGCGCCTCTGAGGGGCTTGGCTTCTTCCGGTCCCCCGGGGGAGGGGCGCGGGGTCAGGCAGCCCCTCTCAGGCGCGCAGGGGCTTCCTTTCTGTCTTGTTCGCGCTTTCTTTGGCCCCACCCCGACCCAGGGTCCCCGACGCCCCCCGAGCCCGCGTTCCTCGACAGCCGCGCGGCTGAGTCACTGGCGCCCTCGGGCGGGGCGGCACTTGGGCACGTGGCGGCGCTCCCCGCCCGCCATCCCCTGACCTCTGGCCTGCAGTGCACCCCCAACCCCAGGCTGGAAAGATCCTGGAGGGAGCCGCCAGAGATAAGGGGGGGAGGTCCGAGATGGGAGACTGGGGTGGGGGGGTGCGGGTAGGGATCCTGGAGTGGGGAGGGGCCTCTGGGTCCGGAGCCAGGCTGCCAGGGCCGCAGCAGAACGCGGGGTAGACCCCACATTCCTCCCAGACCCGCTAAGAGGAGGAGAGTTACCCGGTGCATTTCCCTGCAGTGCTGCTAGCAGACAGCCAGACCGGCTCCAGGCGTTCGGACGCACTCGAAGGGCCCCCTCCTCCCGTCCATTCATTTTTTTTTTTTAAACTCCTGATTCAACACTATTGATTGATGGGGCTGGGGCTGCTCTCTGAAGCGCCCGCAGTCGGTGGGGGAAAGGGGCTCTTGACCGACAGTCCCACGCCTGGCGACAAGTGCTGTCCCAGCGCTATCAGTCGGGCGTCGCGCCAGCTCAAAAGACCCATCTAAATTCGTCTCCTGGCCTCCTCTCTCACCCCACTCGCTGCCAGAACAGGGTAGTGTGGGGGAGCTCCAAGAGGCGGTTATGAGGACCCTGAGAGGTGAGAGCCTCTCACCTTCTGGGTGGTGGGTGAGGGACTTAACTTTAGACTTCAGAGCTTGCTCGGAATCTAAGGAATCCAATCGGTCCCTTCCCCCACTGAAGAGAGAGTCCCGCCAAGTGAGCAGAGCATGTGTGGATGTCAATCCTGCAGCCCCTCTTCCAGGCCCCCTCCCCAGCCCTGCAGGGCTCAGGTTACCCCTGGCCTTTCCTAAAGGGCACTCCTTCCTCTTTAACCTTTGCAAAAGGGGAATATAATCCTGGGGAGGGGAAATCCTGGGAGACCCCCCAATATAAAGCGGCTCCCCTATGCCTCCCAAGGAGTTAAATTAAAAGTAGGGACTTGTATTGGGGGACAGGAAATATATAGTGGGGTGGTAGACATTGACCTTTGGAACGGGGCAGATGCCCAGGGCAAAGATTTCTGCTTTAGGCTGTAGTGGGCATTTGGCTGCCAGCCCAGTGTTGAGGGGGGAGGATGGAGAGAGAGGCGTGGCTGGCTGGGGGACAGGGTGGCTCGGGAATAAATGCCCAGCCTGAGAGGGGGTGAGCTGACATTGTCCCAGCTGCCATCGACTTGGAGCTCCATCTAAACCCCAGAGAAGACATCCCAGGTCTGATGGATTTTCCTTTGGGGGCAGGGGAGTGGAGATAGTACAGGGTCTAGGTGGTGCTATCTTGAAGCTCGGAAGGGGTTCAGCTTCTTTCCTCTTGGGCCTGGGGAATGTTTGAAAAACACTGGCAGGGCCCAAACAAGCAGGGGGCAAGCTGGGAGTACAGAAGGATAGAGAAGGAGGCTGTGAGGAGAGGCAGGAGGGATGGGTGAAGAAGGGTAGTCAGAGTAGGAGCCAGGTAGGGAATTTGGGGCCAGAGATGAGATCCAGAAAGAATTTGAGAACTAGGAGACCATGAAAAACAGGTTATCCAGAAGGGTTGAGGGAAAAAACTAAGTGCAGTTTTGGGGGAAACCAGAGTTTGTAGAGGGGTGAAATTGAGAAGTTATAAAAGAAAAGCCCCAGGGCCCAGGCAGCCGAGCACACGCTGGGCACTGCTTCATGGGCTGAGGCCACCCTGACCGGCCAGTTTGAATCCTACCTCCCTATTTTAAAAAAAGTACAACCAGTCAGGGGTGTGATGGTTAAAGTGCTAGGTCTCTCTCTCTCTCTCTTTAAGAGATATTTTTGCTGTAGGGCATGTGCATTTGCTAGAGAGAAAGAGAAAGTGAGAAACTACCCTCGCCCCCAGGAGGATGGCCATGCCACAGTCTCTTCTCCATTCTCCTCTCAGGATTTTTGGGCACACAGGCATATGTGCCTAGTGTGAGTTTTAAGCTGCTGGATCTGGGACTCGAACCCTGTTGACTACATGGGAGTCCAATGACATAATCATGGCACCATCTGTTGGTCCTAAAGGTCTAGATCTCTCATGGCCTACAGTGCAGTTCGAGTCCTGGACCAGCATCTTGAAAAACACACTGGGTGTGTGTGTAAAAGGAGGTGAGATGCAGAAGGGATTGCTGTGTGGCCATCTCCCATAGGAGAGTGCTTTCTCACTTTCTCTCTCTCTGTCTCCCTCCTGCAAGCAAATGCACCCTCTAGCAAATTAAAATCAATACATAAAAACTGGATGTGGTTGCACTTGCCTGTTGTCCCAAGTCCCAGCTACTCGGAAGGCTGAGGCAGGAGACTGGGACACATTGAGACACTGTCTAAAACAGCACACACACACAAAAAGAGAGGCCCTTGGATTATTAGGGTAGGAGGGTGGAATAGGAGCTCTTCTGAGTGGGGGAGGGGGCTGCCTCTGCCTCTTTGGTCTGTGACCTTTTTGTGGGATATTTTTAGCTCTAGCACCTGCCTTCTTGGGGTGGGGAAGACTCTTAAAGGGCAAGGGATTTTTGGTTCCTTGAGGGATCAACTGTCCACGCTCACACCTCTTATCCAGCAGCCATGGCCATGCAGAAAATCTTTGCCCGGGAAATCCTGGACTCCAGGGGCAACCCCACGGTGGAGGTGGACCTGCACACAGCCAAGGGTAACAGGCCCATTGCATTGGTTTGCCCCAGAAGATCCCAGCCCCATCTGGCCTTTGCCTCCAGTGCAGTGCCACATTCTCACCTCTCTCTGGGGCCCCTTCCCCAGACTTCTTGCCAGGCCCTCCTTTTCCAACTTGGCTCTGTAGCCAAGAGAAGTGGCAGTCTCTGCACTGTCTCTGATCCCTCGACTCAAGGAGAGCACCTCAGCCCTGGGGGGTTGTGGGGGGGAGACAGACACTCTGATCCTCCAATTCCTCCTGCCCCAGGCCGATTCCGAGCAGCTGTGCCCAGCGGAGCTTCCACAGGTATCTATGAAGCTCTGGAACTAAGAGATGGAGACAAATCCCGCTACCTGGGGAAAGGTGAGGAAAGACCAGGGCAGAGCCTGGGTGGGTGGTTTCAGGACATGGGCAACAATGTGGAGAGGACTGGAATTCAGAGCTCTCGAGGGAGGGGCTCGGGTCCATAGGAAGAGGCCTGATGGGATGGGAGATCTGAAACTCCTCTCCTGCGGCCCCTCTAGGAGTCCTGAAGGCTGTGGAGCACATCAATAAGACTCTAGGCCCTGCTCTGCTGGAGAAGGCAAGTGCTGGGGCCTCCTCCTCTCCCCCCCCACCCCACCCCACACCCCTGCCACCTCGCCCCCAAATAATTTCTCCATCCTTCCTCCCTCACCACACCCTGACTCCTGAGAAATCTGACCTCTGCCCTCCCCTTCTCAAACTCACCCTTCCAGAAACTAAGTGTTGTGGATCAAGAAAAAGTTGACAAGTTCATGATTGAGCTGGATGGGACCGAGAATAAGTGTGAGTGAAAGGCTAGAAATGGGAAGGGGTGGCGTGTGCTGGGGGGTGGCGCCAACAGGGGCTGAGGTCTGGCGAGGGTTATTTCTGTGTCCCGCAGTGCAGGGCACGCTGTAGCTGGATGGATTTTTATTCAGTCCACAGGCATTTCCTGATGCCTGCCCTCTGCCAGGCCTGGGCCGGCTGCGGACACAGACTGACATAATCTCCTAGGGTATGAACTCCTCAGAGTTCCTCAGGCCGCTGGGGAAGAGATCTGTTAATAAACGCTTCATGGCCCGTGGTTTGGAGCTCTGGATTTTTCCTGAAGTGGCCAGAGGGGATGTTCAAATCCCAAACCCTGCAGGAGAAGTTCTCACCCTGTCTTCCCAATTGCTTCCTTCCAGCCAAGTTTGGGGCCAATGCCATCCTGGGCGTGTCCCTGGCCGTGTGTAAGGCGGGAGCTGCTGAGAAGGGAGTCCCACTCTACCGACACATCGCAGATCTCGCTGGGAACCCGGACCTCGTCCTCCCAGTGCCTGTGAGTGCGGCTGACCCTGCCCAGCCAAGGGTGCCTAAGCAGCTGGGAAATCCACCTTTTAGACTGAGCTCAGAAAAAGCGCTTTCCTGAAATCCAATCTCTCCTGCTGCGGTCTAGCCCCTCCCTCTACTCCACAATCCTAGCCTTCCCTTAAACTCTGAGTTTCCTTCCCTGGTCTTGGAACCCGGTTCCTTCACATTCCAGTCCTAGGCTCAGGAACTGTAACCTTATTCCACCCTGCACCCCACCCCCGCGTCAGATTCAGAGGTTCTTGGTGGCAAAGATCTTGGCATTTCTTTGTATCTTCTAGAGCCCTTATTTAACGCTCTCTTAATGGGAACCCTTTGAATTTAATCTCAATCATAATGTTGCCATTGACTGTTACTTACTAGCAAGATTGTGTAAGAGCATGGACTTCAGAGACAAGCTGCTGGGTTCAAATTCTGGCTATATTTACTTTGTGTAATCTTACTTAGGCAAGTCATTTAAGGTTTCAGTGCCTCAGTTTTCTTACTTGTAAAACAGGAGGCAATGATACTGGTAGTGCCCAGTTAATAGAGGGACTTTGAGAATGAAAATGAGCTATTTGTAAAGCACTTAAACAGTGCCTGGCATGTAATAAATGTTATAAAAGTGTTAGCTATTACATACCAGGCACTTGCAAATAATTCTACATTAAACTTCTCTAATTTTCAGCAAAAAATACTACAGGGAAGTAGATATTTTCCCCATTACATAAAAATGTGGAAACAGGCTCTGAGGAGTAAAAATACTCATCCTAGACTACTCAACAAATGAGCAGGGAAGCCAGGATTCTGCCGCCACCCCTCTTCCCTTCTTGAAGGGAAAAAGGCCACCCTGGGCCACATCTGAGCACTGTCTCCCTATCCCAGGCCTTCAATGTGATCAATGGAGGCTCCCATGCTGGGAACAAGCTGGCCATGCAGGAGTTCATGATTCTGCCCGTGGGAGCCAGCTCCTTCAAGGAAGCCATGCGCATTGGCGCCGAGGTCTACCACCACCTCAAGGGAGTCATCAAGGCCAAGTATGGAAAAGACGCCACCAACGTGGGTGATGAGGGCGGCTTCGCACCCAACATCCTGGAGAACAATGAAGGTCAGTGCTGAGTATCCCGGTGGACGGACTCCCCTCCTCCAGGCCATCATGGGGGTTGGGGAGGCTGTAGAGACAGGGCTACTGGGGTCTCAGATCCTCTTTTGCTCCTCTCCCAGCCCTGGAGCTGCTGAAGACGGCCATCCAAGCTGCTGGTTACCCGGACAAGGTAGTGATTGGCATGGATGTGGCGGCATCTGAGTTCTACCGCAATGGGAAGTACGATCTTGATTTCAAGTCACCTGATGACCCCGCAAGGCACATCACTGGCGAGAAGCTCGGGGAGCTGTACAAGAGCTTCATAAAGAACTACCCTGGTGAGTCTCCCAGACCCACCAACGCTCCTGCCCAAGTCCCCTGTGTCTGCCTGCCACACTGATCGCAATGTCCTGCTTCGCCACTGACTCGGGTCCTTCTAATCCTCAGCCCTACTGCAATCTTTCCAAACTCTCCTCGCTTGTCACCCCTCCAAGAGGCCCCTTTTGACTTCTAACCCCGACTCTGCTCCCACTCCATACCAGTGGTCTCTATCGAGGACCCGTTTGACCAGGATGATTGGGGCACTTGGACCTCGTTCCTCTCGGGAGTGGACATCCAGATCGTGGGGGATGACCTCACTGTCACGAACCCTAAGAGGATTGCCCAGGCTGTTGAGAAGAAAGCCTGCAACTGTCTGCTGCTGAAGGTCAACCAGATTGGCTCAGTGACCGAGTCCATCCAGGCGTGAGTACCTTCTGACCCTGGGGCCCATGGTAGCCTCCCTCTGCCTGATCCAGCCACAGTCTTGCCTACTAACTCCAAGTCCACCTTTGTCCTGACACCTACCCACCCACATCTTCTGGACCCCACAGTTTTGCCACTGTGGCCCTGCCATGTCTCTATCCCCAACCCATGTTATTCCTCTCTCCCACATTCTGCAGTTCTTCCCACCAATATCTCAGAAACCCAAATATAAGATCAGAAATCTGGCTCAGTCTGTGATGTGGTAGTTAAGGCACCTGGATCCCACATGGCCGACTGTGTGGCTCAAGTCCCATACCTGATGGCTTGGAAAACATGTCAGGTGCAAGCAAGTGCATGTCCAAAATTCTTTTTTTTTTTTCAAGAATTATTTAATTTTTTTCATTGTCATTATTTTATTTTTTGAAGTTGACCAGAGAGAGACAGAGAGAGAGAAGAAAAGTGAGAAAGCAAGCTGCCAGGTCCAGGATTTGAACTGCAGTCAGCCATGTGGGAGTCCAGCCACCTTGAACATCACGCCACCTGCTGGCCTGCATGTAGAAAATTCTAAGAGGAGGAGAAATAGAGAAGAAATTGTGGCATAACTATCCCCCACATGGGGGGGGCCATCTTCTTGCTTTCCTTCTCTCTCTCCCTCTGCCTGGCAAACACGTGTGCCCTCTGACAAAAATTTAAAAAGTAAAACAAAACAAAACAAAACAAAAACACACACGTCTTCTCTTCTTTCCTGCCTCCCAAAGAACAGAGTCATTTGCCTTCCCTGAAAAGTGCCCACTGTCGGGACCAGCAGTTAGCGTAATGGCTATGTCGCTGGACTCCCATGTAGTCGACTGTGGTTCGAGTCCCGGACCCGGTGGCTTAAACTCATGCCAGGCGCGTGTGCGTGCGTGCCCAAGATCCCAAGAGGAGAACGGAGGAGAAGGGATTGCGGCGTGACCATCCCCCCTGGGGGGTGATTTCTCGCTTTCTGTCTCTCTGTCTCTCTCTGTCTGTCTGGCGAGCACACGCGCCCTATAGCAAAAACCTCTCCAAAAAAAAAAGTGCCCACTGTCCAACACAGAAGGGAAACACCCCACTCGGCCCCTGGCCTTCCCACTGAGTAGGTCCCATAATGTCTCATTAAATGTCCTCTCTACCCAGCTGCAAACTGGCTCAGTCTAATGGCTGGGGGGTGATGGTGAGCCACCGCTCAGGGGAGACAGAGGATACGTTCATTGCTGACCTCGTGGTGGGACTCTGCACAGGACAGGTACTCATGGCTTCTCTTTCCTCAGTCTGATCAAGTCTGCTTGGGATCCCTGGCTTCTTGCCCTCTAGTTGGTCATCAGAGGCTGTTACCCTGGGGTCAGGCCCAACCCCAATTCTAGCCTCACCCAACCCTCCAAATCCCTCTTCCTCCTCAGATCAAGACAGGCGCCCCCTGCCGCTCTGAGCGTCTGGCTAAATACAACCAACTTATGAGGTATAATGGGCCTGGGCTTCAGGGAGCTGAGGGCTATTGGGTTGGGAGGCAGCAGCTCTGACTTTGTCTGCATTCTAGGATTGAGGAGGCTCTTGGAGACAAGGCCGTTTTTGCTGGACGCAAGTTCCGTAATCCAAAGGCCAAGTAAGAAGATGGAATCCCCAGAGCCCACCCAGACAGACCCAGTTCTTCGAGCCCTTCTCCCTGAAATAAACACTGGTGCCAACCAAGACAGTGCCGTGCTTTTGTGGAAAAGAGTGAGGAAGGAGATGCCGGTCTCTAGACCAGGAAGAGACAAGAGGTGAAGAAATGGGTGCAGGAAAGGGGAGGTAGAGAACAGACCTGTAACCTGCTGGAACAAGAGGAAGTGAGAGACTGAGAGAGGAAGCTGGGAGGACCTAGAACAGAGGTTCACATTTTGGCGGGAGGTTGGGGGAAGCAGGTGCCAAAGGGAAATGAAGCTGAAGAGGTGCTGATGGAACAAGGAACCAGAGTCAGGGACCAAGTGGGAGTAAACAGTGTGCAGAGTGCACTGTGAGGAAAGGTCGCAGTCCCATTGAGTGCTCTGTGGGGTGACAATGGTAACAAGAGCTACAGCATCTGCAGATCTCCTCTACTGCCTGTCCAGCAGTCTATCAGGTGGTTACCATTACCAGCCCATTGTGTAGAGGAAGCTGAGCCATAAAGGATTAAAAATACCTTACCTCAGGGGCCAGCACGTGGTTTGGTGGTTAAGGCATTAGACTCCCATGTGGCTGACTGTGCTTCAAACCCTAGACCTGGCAGCTCACTTTCTCTCTCTTTCCGGTGAGCACACATGCCCTGCAGCAAACTTTAAAAAAATTAAAATAAGTAAATAATTCTAAAACCCCCTACCTTATCCAAAATAAGAGTTAGCAATGAGCAGAGCTGGGATCTAAAATAGGGCCATCTGGCTCCAGCACTCACACTCATGAAACACGGTTGCCTTGGGGAAAGGCAGTGGATCAGCAGTAATGGAATTGGATCCACATGGGGAGGTCCAGGGATCACACCTCAAGGCTCCGTCTGCACAAAGGGCCTACCCATGCTCTTATCTGGGCTGGCTGAGACTGGGGGTGGCTGGTGGCATGAGGATCCTGTTGAGGTGCTTGTTCTGTCTCTTTCTCTCACAGAAGAAACAAATAAACTTCAAAACAAAACACTATACCTGGTCCAGGTGCAGCAGCACACTGCACTACGATGCTGGAAGCCATATTGAAGATGTAGTTCAGCGTACTGGTTGACCTATACAGGCCAAGCATGAGTACGTGTGCCCATGATCCTGACTGGCTGGGAGGGCTGTATGAGACTCTGTTAAGATGTTTGTCTCTCTCTCATTTAAGCTATATATATACAGATATACCTATATATCTATGTCTATTGTGGGCTAGCTGGTGACACAGTGGTTAAGGCAGCTAGATGCACAGTTCAAGTCCTGGACCAATGACTTGAAAAATATGCTGGATGGGGCCGGCAGTTGGTGTGGTGGTTAAGAGTGCTGGACTCCCACATGGCTGACCACAGATTGAGTCCCAAACCTGGCAGCTTTCTTTCTCAGTTTCCTTTTCTCTCTCTCACACTCTCTCCCTCTCTGGTCAAATTAAAATAAATAAATAAATAAAGTTAAATGAAATAATTCTTTAAAAAAAAAAAAAGAAAGAAAAATATGCTGGATGCATGTGCATGTGTGCCCAAAATCCCCAAGGGGTAATTTCTCAGTCTCTCTCTCACTGGCGAGCACATGTGACCTATAGTGAACTAGAAAAAAAGATCTATATAATTCCCTGTTATGGTGCCAATTACTGGCATTTTTTTTTTCTTTTTTTTTTTTTTTTGAGAGGTTTTTGGTATAGGGCAAGTGTGTTCGCCAGAAAGACAGAAGGCAAGAAATCACCCCCCAGGGGGGATGGCCATGCCACAATCCCTTCTCCTTCATTCTCCTCTCAGGATCTTGGGCACGCATGTACATGCGCCTGGCATGAGTTTAAGTTACTGGGTCCAGGACTTGAACTACGGTTGACTACATGGGAGTCGAGTGACATAGCCATTAGGCCAACTACTGGTCCTGTACTGACCACGTTTTTACCTACACACACAGCAATTTTTTTAACAAATTATTTATGTGATTTTATTATCATTTTTAAAAATTTGCTATAGAACACATATGCTCATCAGAGAAAGAGGGGGAAGGAAAGTGAGAAAACAAGCTGCCAAGTCGGGAATTCAAACTATGGTCGGCCCTGTGGGAGTCCAGTGCCTCAACCACCATGCCACCTGCTGACCCCACCAAAAGCAATTTTATGCTGTTCATCCTAAAATTATTCGCTTCTCTGCGAGTAGACAACAGGACCCACCCTTTGGTGTAAAAACAAGGACACTGGGTCAAACAGTGTTTATTGAATGTAAAGAAACACCAGCCCCATGGGGAAGAAAATTCCAAGGAAAACAGAGAATAATACAGATTAAATACCCACCTGTGCATTCACGCTTTTTCACACACACACACACACACACACACACACACACACAGATACACACATGCATACCTCACACACATCCACGCTCCAACAGTGATACACCGAACACCTGCTTCCCCTCAGCCTGAGTGACAGCTGGTAGGAGGTGGTTCAAAACTGGGGGCTCCAGGATGGGTCCAAATAGCAGCAGCCTGTCCCTCCCTGCCCCCTGCTCTGCCCCAGGGGTCAAAGGAGCTGGGTGAGGTGCCTAGGAGGTAGGTGGCAACTCTTCCCCGCTCTGCCGCAGACGCTTCTTGGCTCGGATCTCATTCATGGCCTCTTCAATAGAGCGTGTGTCCCTCTTGTTGGCCACAGGCACTGTGGGCAGAGGTGGGGGGCTCAGAGCCCTACGCCTTGGCCCCCATGGCCCTAAGCCTGGACTTTCCCCCCAGGCCTCCCTCCACCCCACTGCTGTCTCACCGCAGCCGTAGGTCTTGTTGGCCTGCAGCATGTGGGCCGCATCCTTGGCTGCTCCCTTGCCGATGAGGTGGCTGTACTTGTCCTTGTAGTCACTGGCAGGGCTCACCTCCACAGGGCCCCGCTGGGCCGCCTCCTCCTCCTGCCGCTGGGCCAGCTCCTAGTGGTGCAAAGGCAGGGCCCCCTGCTCAGGGGCTGGCCCTGACCCCTCCCAGGCCGTGGGCTGCAGGGCTCTCAGCACCACCAGCACAGCTCACCTTCAGCTTCCGTTTCTCCTCGGCCTTCTGAGGGTCCCACTCTTCTCCACGACGGTAGGAGTCCAGTTCTTCGTCTGAGGGTGCAAACTCCTGGGGAAGAAGGGAAGAGTGGGGCAGGGGTCCATAAAAATGTGGAATCTCATTCCTTTCTGCTTGGGAACGGGCTGAAAAGGGGAAAGGAGAGAGTGAAGAACTTGGGCCTTCTACCTTTTTGAAGATCATGACATAGCGACACTCATCGTCTTCCCCAAAGGAGAAAGATGTCAGGCCGGCCACCTCCACCACGTCGTGTCTGGGAAGGGAGAGTGAGGTGTGGAGGGGGAAGTGCTGAGCCATAAGCTCCTTGGGAGGAGACCTGCTGGCCCTTTCATGGCCCCTTAGCCACCCCCTTCCTGCCTCCCCCAGCCCAGAGACACTCACAGTATGCTCCTCTCTATCTTGTTCATCGGCTGAAACTTTTTCTTGATCTGCCCACTGTCTTGGATGAAATCTGACACCTCTTTCTCCATCTTGGGAGAGAGAAAAGGAAGAAGACTGAGACCGTGACGCTGCCCAAACCTCTCTCTCTCCCCTACGGGCCTACTGGCCTTCTACACTACCCCACAGCCTGCCCAGCCTCCATGTCGCTAGCTGTCAGGCTTCAAGACATTTTCAACAAAACTGAGTCCTCAACCTTCCCATTCTAACTGATAAGAAGCCCATCCTGAGGCTGACTCTGGTCCCTCCAGTTGTTCTCACCCTTTTACGAAACTCCACTTTCTGTTGTTTCTCTTGTTCTTGTAGTTTCTTCAGGCGGGCAGCCTGCTCTGTGGGTGAGAATTGGCAGCATGAGGCCAGGGCTATAAGCATGGGTGGAGGAGGGTGTCATAAGGCATCCGAGAAAGTTTGGTGTCCCATAGGAGGTATCAGCCTATGAAGGTAGGATTATTATTTACTAAGCATTAATTCTTTTTCTTCTTAATTTTTTTCTGCTAGAGTGCACAGGCACTTGCCAGAGAAAGATGGAGAAAAACACCCTCCATGGGGAACAGTCACTCCACAGTCCCTTCTCTTCCATCTCTCCCTCCTTTGCGGATTTTGGGTGTACCCAGCTCGTTTCTTAAGCAGCTGGGTTTGGGATTCAAACTGTGTCATTGGTCTTGTGGGATCTAGCTCAGTAACCACCAGACCACAGAGCCAGCCATCTACCAAGCATTATCAATGTGTGCTATACACCTGGCTCTGTGTTAGGCCCTGGAGTAGCAAAATGATTAAGACACTTAAAGAGCTCACAGTGTAGTGGGAGTGACAAAGTTTGTAATCACACTTAACCTCATTTCCCATCTCCACCGGGGAAACCAATTAATGACCACTTACTTAATATCCACAAAAGACAAAGAATCCTAAGGCACCTGGAGAGGTGAGAACAGACTAAGTCTAGGGCCTTAAAGAGTTTATCACCTCATTGTATACATAAGAAAGCGGAAATTATTTAACTTCCTGTATTTAGTAACACCCCCACTTCCCACTTCTACAGATAAGACGAAGCTGAAATGGCTAATCTGACACCCTTTTCCTTAGGAAGAATAGGTGTGCAAGGTTAGCTGCCAAGGAACTGTCTACCCTTCGGTCTTATTTAATTGCCCTCTCCTTCCTCAGATCCTGCTTCTGTACCAGATCTCCTCTGCCTCTGGAGGAGGGGGTGCATTTCTTTTCTTCTTCTTCTTCTTTTTTTTTTTTTTAAACAATGTATGTTGGGGCCAGCAGGAGGAACAGTGGTTAAGGCTCTAGACTCCCACGTGGCCAACCATAGTTTGAGTCCTGGACCTGGTGACTTGAAACTCATGCTGAGCAAGTGTGCATGTGTGCCCAAAATCCTGAGGTGAATGGAGAAAAGATGGTGGCATGGCCATCCCCCCAGAGAGTGATTTCTCACTTTCTCTCTCTCTCCATCTCTCTCTGTCTCCCTGGTGATCACACACTCTCTATACCAAAAATATCTCTCTCAATAAAAAAGTATGTTATTTATTGGTTTTTGCCACAGTGAGAGGAAAAGTGAGAAATCCCCCTCTCCCAAGGGGAACAGCCATATCATAGTCCCTTTTCCTCCATTCACCTCCTGGGATTTTGGGCACACATGCACACACTCCTAGTGTGATTTTCAAGCTGCCAGGGCCAGGATTCGAACCATGGTCAGACAGGTGGGAGTTCAGGGCCTTAGCTACCACACCACTTGGTACAAGGGATGCCTTCCTAACCTAAGCTCTCCATGCCTGCCCAATGATAAGATTTTTTTTCTCTAATTTATAACACCCATGATGTGATTTTTCTTGCCTCTTGGGATTTGGGATTACATGCTTCTTCTGATTCCTGGTCCTATTTAAAGTGCTCCCATTCCTCCTTTCCTGACATCTGAAATCCTTTTTCCTTTTTTTTTTTTTTTTTTGAGATGTTTTTGCTAGAGGGTACGTGCGCTCGCCAGAAAGAGAGAGAGAGACACAGAGACAGAAAGAGAGAAATCATCCCCCAGGGGAGATGGCCACACTTCAATCCTTTCTCCTTCATTCTCCTCTTGGGATCTTGGGCACACATGCATATGCGCCCGGGGAGAGTTTAAGTTATCAGGTCCGGGACTTGAATCATGGTCAACTATATGGGAGTCCAGCGACATAGCCATGATACCAACTGCTGGTCCTGCCATTTGAAATCCGTAAGGCCCACCTCTACAGGATCTGAATTCTCCCCTCCCCTAAGCTGAACTGAATCTCTTCCCATTTTTCTAGTCACTCCGCCTTTGTGCATGTTTTTCCTTCTGCTTAGAATGCTTTTCTTCTACTGGCAAATGTTGAGGATCTTGTCATGAATCGGTTACTTCTTCCTTGGGCACTAAGCACATGTGGTTCCGATACCCGTGTCTGTGCTGAGAACGAACTTACTGTAACCTTTTCTTGTCTTCCCATTAGTGTGCATGTGCATATCCATGCGTACATGGCCATAGTATTTTCAGACAAGCTCTCACTGTCATGATCCTCCTGCCTTGGCCTCCTGAGAGGGTTGGACTACAGGCCTGCGTCATGTCAGGCTCTAAAGCAGGATCTTGCTATGTTGCCCACACTGTGAGTTTCTGACACTTTTGCCTCAGCATCCTCAGTATAGTACAGGTAAGCACCAGCTGATCTGGCTTTGTATCTTTTTGTTCATCTCCACCACCAGATTATGAGCTCCTGGAAGGCAGGGAACCTGTTCATCTCCTATCCAGTTATCTGTCAGGACCCCAGGACTGGACAACACAGGAGCTTGCATCTCTCTGACCTCGATGACCCTCTGTGCATCCCATCTTGCCCACTGTTCTCTAACTGGTTTCCAGGTCTCCTCTACATCTGAGGAAGTGGCATACAAATATAGTTAAGAGGTGAGATGGTGGTACGGTGGTATCGCACCTGGACTCACATGACAAGGTCCAGTTTGCATCCCAAGACTTCCCCATACATTCTGGGTACAACTGCCCGTGATAATGGATGGCTTAGGCTGGACCGTGGTTCGGCGAGCCTGTTGGAGGTGACTTTCTCTCATGGAAGAAATAAATGAATACAATTAAACGAAACACAAACAAACGAACAAAGGATTGAGCCAGTTGGTTGGCACAGTGACAACACACTGTTCTAGAAATGCTGGCTCTGTACGGAAGATCACAGGTTCCTTGGTTGACCTGTACACACTAGGCACATTTGCCTGTGATCCTGGCTAGCTGGGGAGGTTTGCGGGGATCACAGTTGACAGTGCTTGTCTCTCTCTCTCTCTTTCTTGAAATAAATAAGCTTTTTAAAATGTTTTAATTGGGGGATCAGCAGTTAGTGTAATGGCTATGTCGCTGGACTCCCACGTAGTCCCGTGGTTCGAGTCCTGGACCCGGTGGCTTAAACTCACGCCGGGCGCGTGTGCGTGCATGCCCAAGATCCCGAGAGGAGAATGGAGGAGAAGGGATTGCGGCGTGGCCATCCCCTCTGGGGGGTGATTTCTCGCTTTCTATCTCTCTGTCTGTCTCTGTCTGGCGAGCACACGTGCCAGATAGCAAAATTTTTTAATTGGCAGAAGGCACTTGCACTTGCCAGAGAAGACAGAGAGAGTGAGACGAAGCCTAAGCCTTGTATTCATCACTAGACTATAGAATCCACACAAAACAAACATTCAAAGGGAAAAAATAATGGTTAAGAACACAAGCTTTTAGGGGACTGGCAGGTGGCATGGTGTTTGGGGGTGCTGGACTCCCACATTGCCAACCATTGTTTGAATCCTGGACCTGGAGGCTCGCTTTCTCACTTTCCCTCTCCCTCACTATGTCCCTCTCTGGTCAAATTAAAATAAAGTTAAATAAAATAATTTTTAAAAAATAACAAAAAGCTTTTAAAAAGTCATACCTGAGTTAAAAATGCTATCACTTACTGGAACCAGCAGTTAGGGTAATGGCTATGTCGCTGGACTCCCACGTAGTCAACTGCGGTTTGCATCCCGGACCTGGTGGCTTAAAACTCATGCTGGGCGCGTGTGTGTGTGCATGCCCAAGATCCGGAGAGAAGAATGGAGGAGAGGGGGATTGTGGCGTGGCCATCCCCCCTGGGGGGTGATTTCTCGCTTTCTGTCTCTGTCTCTCTCTGTCTTTCTGGAGAGCGCACACGCCCTATAGCAAAAACCTCTCCAAAAAAAAAAAAAAAA